AGAAAAAAAAGGAGGAAAACAATGACATTTATTTTGTCAGGGAAGCTTTTCTATATTGACATTAAAAAATAAGATACATATTCCTTATCTTGAATATTTGTGTTATCTCTGCGATTGAAACGCACCAGTTTATTGGACTAAAGTTTGTGAAATCCTACAGAAAGAGCTTAAGTGTTCTTTAAGCCAGACACAAGCTATCAAGGTTATTTGGAAAGACAATATTTTACCTTTAAAAATGACAGTTTCATCTTTTTCAGGAATTTCATATGCAGCATCAACACCAGGTGGCAGCCGTGGCCAGAATGAAGATATTAAATTAAAATCAGCTCTTCTGACTTCAGGATGCTTGCGCCAAAAGTGCCTTTTGTAAGTATAGAACAGGTTTTAAATAAAATCAGGTGTTCAAACACACTAAAGCGTGAAACCACATCATGGCAACCAGGGCAAGACTTATCTGACTAAACTCAGACATGTACCCCGACTTAGTCACCCTAAGCTCCCTATAATTTCAATAGAAAGAAAGTAATTTCCATGGTAGGATTCCTCTTATCTTGATGTCGATGTCTAAAATAGGTCAGATGAACTGTTTTGTCAAAACTGTTATTATTTTTCCTTATGTGGAAAGGGCTCCTAGTGACACCGGGCTCACACAGCTGATATGGGGCAAGATTTTTGGGAACGAAACCCCATCCTGGGTTACCAATACCAGCTTAGAGAAACAGTCAGTGTGTGCATGAGGATCTTCTGCAAAATAACACTTTACTGTCTATGTGGACTCCAAATTCTGAAGTCAAAACTCGCATTAACATTGATTATGGGGAGGAATCAGGAGAAGCACAGCTACACCATCTGAAAACGAGAGGAATCAGCTTTTTCTAACCATTCTCAAGACTGGGCTGTCATGCCCTGGAGAGGGACAGTTTGTCTGAGTTTAGCACTGAATCAACTATTCTTTCCTTCTATTATTATACTAAATCGCCACTGCAGGTGTTCTTCAAGCAGATATTGTGTCAGGGCTGGTAAATTCTTCGCTCTCTAAAGTGGCCCAGGGCTGGTGGTGCCTTTGCCAAAAGCTGGATTCTCCAAGATGCTAAACCCTCAGGACTTGCCTACATCCTAACACGAGAGCAGCCCATGTTTCACAGGAGCATCTTTCCCCATCCTATTCATAGCATGACCTGTTTCAGAGCTTATCTTCCTTCTTATACTTATCTCTATTTCTCCAGCTACCGTCTTTGATTTTGTTTCCCACCTTTTATCCTGATTCCCTGTCTCATCTTCCTGCCTATAATGGCTGATATTCTGGTTAAAGTTATTTTTCCATGCTGCAGGGCATAACTTAAAAATTATATCTAGCTACTTTGTTTTCAGAAAGCTGACTTACTTGTCTTTAAAGAACATTATTTCTCCACGGAAAGTGGTGACAGCATCAAAAGTTAAATTAGGGCCACAGGTGTTCGGCTGTGCAGGATCTTTTGACTCAGTTGGGTCTTTTACCTCAGTAGATTCCCTTTGGTTGTTGTTGATATTAGAAGACGGTCCTAAAAGAAGCAGTTTATGGAAGAAATAAAAGTGAGAACACATTTAGGTATATCCACTACAAAAAATGCCACTGAAATGTATTCCAAATTCTTTGAAATTATAAAAATTAGTTGATTAATGGTTGTCGATTACCATAGAGATACTGAATGCCATTAATATCATCCTGATGAAGAGGGAATGCTGAAGGATCAAATTTCCTATAAACTGGGTACATGAGAGCATTGGGGTCTTTGGAATGGAAAAGTCCCAGTGAATGGCCAAACTCATGGGCAGCAACATAAAGCAGGTTCGTACCTGAGAACAACAAGCAAGAGACATGATAAGAGTGCCGTGTGTTTTCATTTGTCCTGAAAACATGAAGGACATAAGGTAGGTCAGGTTTCAGAACTGCCTGCCTAAACAGGTGAAGCTGTTATGGAAAATTCAGCTGGTGACGAAATTCTGGTCAGAAAGAAAAATGATTAAATCATTAGAGTACAAAGAAATAGTCTGTAAATCCTGCAGAAGCCTGTGAGGCAGAATGACCCTGGAGCACTGCAGGTGATGTAGCTGGGGAGAGAGAGGCAAGGAGGCTGGAGAAGCAGGGAAAAGGGGGCTGCCAGGTCTGTCAGCTCCCTCCCCAAAAAGTCTCCACTAAGTGCATTTCAGAAGTTCAGCTGGGGCTTTAACTTTTTTAACCAGAGGGATAGAGGCTTTTTACAGCTATGGAAAACAGCTGCACAACACTCCTCCAAATCAGCTCCATTTTTAAGCACTTCTTAAGGAAAAGAGGAGATAGACACTGCGCCCTTGATTTCATGTATAGCCTGCTTCAGGAAAGGATTGGAGATTTGAATTTCCTACCTTCTGTACTTTTGGTCCAGGTTTCATCCTCATCAAAGTGAGCATCTCCACCAAAGTCCTTGCCGGGGGCGTAGGCATGAGCAACAGACCCTCCTGGGCCATCAAAAGGGATGAAGTCATTGTGACCTGAGGACCAAGTCCCATACACAGTTGAGTGGGAGTTTATGGAGGTAATTGATCTCAGCCACACATAGACCTCTCTTTTCTGCTTATTTTGTAAACTTTCAAGTTCCCCTTCCACACAGACTTTGCCAAAATCTCTATTTTTCACAGGGAAAACTAGGAAAATTGGAATTGATGCATCAAGAGTGAAAGCGTGGTTTCCTCAAGAAATGGGTGGACATATACATATTACTCCCACAAGGGAAGAAGAGGACATGGTTTATCTTGAAATATATTTCCTTTTTGGCTCGTAAGTTAAAAATGTCAGAAACTTTCTGTCAGCAGCTTTCAAGTGGTTACCTGAATCTGTCTGGTAATTTAAGAGTTGATGGCAGAAGCAAGACCGTGGGAAGACCATGAGGCCTTGAATGGAGTCTCCAGAAGATTTAAGGACATAGAGGTTACATGTGGTGCCTGCACACTTGCATAGCACAGAGGAGTTGACATGTTCGGGTGGGAACAGAGGAACCAACTAGAAAGTTGCACGTGCTCATGACTGTTAGTGAAAGAGGGAAGGCTGCTGATAAGGTTACCCTTAAGGCAATGCCAAGAATATAAACTTTGATTCTGTTTAGGAGTTATCTAGCTCACACAAAGCACATGCCTGATCCCAGGAGTGTACGTAGAACTACCCACTCCGTAGTGCTCTGAGCTTGGGCATATCTCACAAGCCCTAAATATCCTGTGGTTCTTGCACACATTGGGCATCATGTTACGTATAGATCCAGTGAACTACAGGCAGCTTGTTACATTTATTTTCTTCCTTTTTCTCTTCCTCTGCTTCTACACCCTCCCCCCAAAATTATCGAGGATTGTAGCCACAGCACCTTGAGCAGGAACTCTCTGCTTGTGCAACCTGACACTGAACTTCGCACATACTATCTATGAGAAGAAATCACTAAAATTTCAGTTCAAGTCTCCATATAGGCAGCAACTCGGCAATAGCTCATAATAATTGAGTAGAGTTTTACCTCTGGCTGCAAAGGAGATCATTATGTCTGCATCACCTCTGTCCTTTTGGATGAATTTCAGTGGGGTCACACTGCTCCAAACACTAAACGCTTTCTTGATCGCTGCATTGACATCTGCTGGATGCAAGTCTGGTGTGTAGTTTAATATCCTTTAAAACATAAGATAGAAAACCAGCTCTGCTCTTACAACTTATGCTGTGCAACACTATCTTTGCATTAAGAATTCCACTATAATTACCTGTATGTCAGAACTTGCTTTGCCCATTTTGGCTCTCCTGCAAAAGTGGAGAACCCAGCCACATCAGGGAATCCACAGCAGCGTTTCTGCACTAGGTCCAAAGTACCAGAATCCAGTTTCCCTGTCACCTCCAGTCCAAAGAATTCCTGCATTTCTTTCATTTTTTGGGTCATTGGACTATCACTTTTCCAAATGAAGGATTCCCCATGATTCTTAAAGCCATAGTAACTTTCTAGGTACTTCTAATTAAAAAAAAAAAGCATTTTAGGACAGTCAATTGTGTTTGCTTTTGAAGCTCATAAAAAATTATACTAAAACCATACATGTACTTCTGCTACTTTTTGTTTTATTCCATCTGATCATGGGTATTAGAATTTGTTAAAGCCTGTATGAAAATTTTTCTCTTAATGATAGGTTTTTGCATCATATTATCATTAACAGTGTTTTGCAGTTTACTCAGATACATTCAAAATTAGCAGTTATCTAATAAATAGATTATTTTTGGGTAAGGCATCCTCAACTTACTCTGTCCTCTAGGGTTATCCAGAGACCTTTAGAGAAGATAGTGCAGAAACTGTTCGAAATATGTTACTGAATACAAAATTTCAGTAGTAGTATCCCATTTTCCCACACTTTTTGATAGCAATAATTGAGATGAAACAATATCCTTATTTTATGAAGTGCTGTGTCTCCTAATACCAAAAGTCACGTAAATAACCACATTTCCACCTGAACTACAAAGCAAATGCAGACTGACCAGAAGGTTAATTATTTGTGGAATCAACACGAGCGAATGCATCACCAGTTTTAGTTGTTCTCTACAAAAAATGTAAACTAAGAATGAGTCAGGGTTAAAGAAGCCTTTGTCATCATGGTGCATAATGCAGCCACCTCTATTTTGAGAAACAGCAATCACGTTATTTGTTCTACTGGAATTTGCAGAACTAACACGTCAGCTACTACAAGCAAGTTTCAGAGACAGCAGTGGATGCTCAACAGTTGGTAAAGATCTCCTCCCTGAAGGTCTGACTTCCTCACCTGGATAAGCTGCATGTCTTCTCCTTTATTCCGCCTTATAGCTGCAGGAAAAGCACAAGAAAGTGCTGCACATAGTAACAGGAGAAATAGGAGATTCTCCATTCTCATTTTCACTAGCCTTTAGTAAATCTTCTTTGCATTTTGCTACACATTTACTTCACCCTTATATAGTACTCTGCTTTACAAATCTTTCTAATCCCTGACTCATTAATTCTCACAATTTCTAGTTAGCAACAGAACACATGCAAAACAGCAGCTTTACCATAAAAATGATCAGTGTTGTGCTTCATCCGGTTCCACCCTTGTGCAGGTTTTGCAACATGGAAATATGATTAATGAGGTGATAATAGAGCTGTCATTCTTTTTAATAAGGTCATTAATCTTTTAGTTATAACAAGTCAGTCTTACTCTCCAAAAACTTAAACCCCATCTCTTTAATCTTTTCCATTCAAAGTTTGTATTGATTTCAAATAGGTTGTTGAAGTACCTAAATAAAAAAACACATTCACTGTAGGCAACAAGTAGAAAATGTGCATTCTAGGTTTTTTACAGTTGTTTTTACAGGAGCATGTACTTTTGGAGGCTGTTACTGTGCCATCATGTTTACCTTTGGTAGAGTCCTTTAAAATTAAAAGACCAGTGCTGTAACTTCCCGTTTGATGAAGCAGTGCTTTGTTTATGTAGTTTTTCTTTGATACAGTTCTCACCTGGATGAAACTTTTTTTGTCTGTAGAAAAATGGGGAAGTCTCACAAGGAAACAAAAGCACTTTTCTCACCATATCTAAATTAATTATAAAAATTGAGCCAAGGTGTTTGCATGTCACTTTTATTCAGCACTTTGCACTGACCTCAGGGAATTGCCCAAATGCGTCATATTTCATGGTCTCCTTTTATGCTTACTACAAGATTTTTAAAAGCACTGAGATTTTGTGGATCCAACTATTTGATGGCTTTTTCAGTCAGAGGAGAGAGTCTTCTCTTCTCCATGTCTGCCATTGGTGATAATAACTCCTGAGACTCAACATCAGGTTTGCTCTAGCATTGGGTCTACTTTTCCTCCTCATCCAATCACACCCTCCACTCTCTACCACGAATGAGGACAAAGCAGAGGTGATGGTGAAGGCCCTGGGAACACAGAGATGTGTACTGCCATTAAAGACAACTTTCTCTACTGGAGACTTCTGCATGCGGCTGACACAGGATTTAGGGTACACCTGCAACACTGCAGGGCAGGTGGGACCTTGCATGTGCAGAGAAATAAACTACCTTCCACAGAGCTGGCAGAATAATAGAGCTGTAAGAGGAGACATTATAAATATATTGTACGCTTGAGATATTACTGATTTTTTTTTCTGTTGAAGAGCACTGTGTAAGCACCAGAAGGTTCCCCAAAGAACAGCATGCCTTATGGCCATCCACAGTGGGAAATGGAGGACTGCCAGGTCTGGGAAGCTGAAATGGGGCCAGACCCAAGGCTGGTGGGGCTCTGCAAGAGTTGTCTGGCTGCTGAGGATTGAATTGCTACCCTGAGAGCAGACACCTAACTGAAGTGTTTGCATCAGAGCAGAAGCACCCTCCTTGGTCCTGGAAGGAGATGGGCAAACTCAGGGAACAACCCAGAACCTGATCAGCTGAGCCAAGGGGGAGTGATCCCTGGAGGGAGCTTTTGGTAATGACTGTACTCACGTAGTTAGGTTAGGTGTTCCTAGCTAGAGTGGGTGAGATGAATCTAAAAATTGGGTGCAGCTCACACACCCACAGAACCTCTCTGCAGAAATAGCTTCTGGTACTTTACAGTACCCCTATAGCTTTCCAACTTTTTTTTCTTCCCATACAGTATCTCTATCAGTACAGTGTCTCTGTGGTTCTAGACAAAACAACTTTCCAGTCTGCAGGACTTGATAATTTTCCTCGTTCATCTTTCTCTCTAATGAAAGGGCCATTAGGAGCCATTAAAACCATCTAGGAAGTTGTTGATTAAATTTATACAGTTTTCTGGATTAGCAGCCTTCTCAAATACATCCTTTTGCTATTCTGTCAACCTCTTTCTCACTTGTCTTGATGCTACTCACCTTTGCCGTCAAGACATCAGTCACCTTGTCAAGTATTTTTCAATCATCTCAAATATGATTTCTGAAGAAAATTCTGTAACCACAGAGTTCTTTTTTGATGTTCTCCTTGGGGGGGATTTCACCCAGAAGTAGTACAACATAAAACAACAATCTCTTGTTTTGGCTTAAAGAAGTGAGTGTAAAAATTTCTTTGTTCTTCTTCTTTCAGCCTTTAAAAGTGCCTGGATGAGCTCTTAAGATTGCCATTATCTTTCTGTCTTCCAGAATCAGTCTTTTGCCTTTGACGCATTGCTGTAGCCCCAGCTCCTGCTAGTTTTACCAGAGAAAGACACGTAATGCTGACAAGAAGTATTAAAATTTGCTCGTTTTTGGCAAAGTTGTTGCTAATCCATGGTTTGTATATTTAAAAACTAATGCATACTGTAGTACAGAGAAAAGTCAAAGAACATCTGGCAGAGCCTCAACAAGTCATAATTAAGTTGTTTTATTCTGCAAAGGGTGAGGGCTTAATTATGCAAAGCTTGAAAATGCCTCACTCTGCTGCCTTACACACCCTCAGTGTCAAGGCCAGCCTGGGCTCTGGTAGCAGTGCAGGACCCCTGGACGAGACCTACGAGAACATATCCATGCAATGAGAAGATTCTGAGCTGCAAAACTGCAGCTTCAGCCGTTGCCGCCGATGAGTGGTGCTTAACCCAGCGCCTCTGGAAACTCCTTCCTGGCTCTGCTGCAAACCCTCAGACCTGGCAGCACAAACCTAGCCTCAAAATATCATATTGCTGATGAATACAAACGTGTGACCTACTTCTGGCTTTTATGTAACGGTCATAGCAATGCTGATTCACTGACAGGGCCCTTTTTGTCCCAGCCAGCTTGGACACAGGTCCAGCCTTGCTCTCCAGTGCGGAGTTTCCAGGGCCTCCTGCCAGCTTGATTATTTCTCTCTATGCTTGTGGCCGTGCTGTCTGTGCCTGTTGAGTAGACTCTTGCTTTGTACACAAAACCTACCCAGGAAGATCTTAAATCCCAGGCAAAGAGAACAGCATTAGACATATATTTCCAAGTATCATCCACAACCACAGCAAGTACCTTGAAAATCAGACAAGGAAGAGGAAATTCAGATCTTTATCACAACATCTCCAAATACTCCCATGTTACACATTCATTCTCCTTCCCAAAAAGTGACATATCACAGCTTCTGGGAGTGGGACTAAACCAGTGCTCCAGTTATAGAGCAAGTGCTTGTGACCAAATGATCAGATGTCCAGATCTGGAGCCCATTGCTTTGTTGTAACATTTAGAAGTTCCTGGTACATGTGACTGAAGTGCCAGAAGAGCAGCCGCTCCCCTGATTCTTTTTGTTTCCTCTGCTCCCGACATTTTTGTGTAAGCATGTACTGTAACAAGCTCACACAGCTAATACTCTGTAAGGGCCCTATTAAACTGTGAGTAAAGTCATCAAGACATTTTTGCCTGAGTTTTCATGTGCAAGATATTTGGTCTGGGACAATAATTTTACGGTCAAGAAGTTCAGACGTAACTGGGTTGTTTTGCATGCCTGGTCTCAGGCTCCAGGGAAAGTTCATGTTCATAGAGTATGAGTACTTGGAATTTTGTTTATGGACAAATTTCCCCTGCTGGTATCCAAAAAGCTTTTCTTTCTAGTAGTCTTTTATGAGTTATACCAAAATCACAGTTACAAGAAATCTTCTCTTGCCCACAGGCAGTTCCAGCACTTCTGTTTCCAAACTCATTTGAATTACATATTATTATACAATTTACCACGAATTTCTTTGCTTTTCTCAAACTGAAAGTAATGTGCTTTTGTCGTTAAAGTTTATGACATTAACAAACCAGAAGCACAGATTGAAAATCCATGGTTAACACACCTCACCAGACCCAGCCTGGTTAGCTCAGTGGGTTGAGTGCCCTGCTGATAACACCAAGGTTGTGGTTTTGATTCCTGTTTGGTCCCCATGTGTTGCCTGATCTAGTCGAGAGGTGGTGTCCCTGCCCGTGACAGGGAGTTTGGATTAAAATGATCTCTTAAGTCCCTTCCAGCCCAGGCCATTCTATGATTCTATGACCCCTTGTCCAGATGAAATCCATGCCATGTTGTCTTCTCCTTATGGTCCAGGTTAGACCACAACACTGAAGACTTTCTAGATTTTCCTTCACAGCCAAGTAAAAAAAAAATAATTTTTTTCAGATATTAGTATTTTAAGCTAATTAATACCTGGAGGTAGGGGATTATTTAATTTAGCTGTTTCCTTCGGGTAGTAACTAAAAAAACAGCAGCAGCCTTATTTAAGAGATATAAGTTAATACAATGGCCAAGGTGAGCCATCATAAGGATCATGAGTGCTCTGCTTCATCATTGCTGAAATGTTCTTTTTAGTTCTTCCTTAACCACTTTCAAATCTCAGTCAACAGTCAGAGCCTAGAGGCTTGATTTCTGAAGGTACAAGAAGGTATCTAGTTAGGATATCAAAGTGTGTAGGCACTGCTAAAATCAAAGGGAATTAAACACATTATTTGAGTACAAGCAGTACTCACAAGCGCTCTGCCTAACCCTGGAGGCATCTAAAGTTGTTGGGCTGAAGTTTCTTTTGGACAGGCTGTGCACACAGAACGAACTATTGAGAAAGACACTGGGAGATGTTGAGGCAACACCAGTTTTCCCGTGTCGCTGCCCTGGCTGCATGGCTGCCAGGTGAGCTCACCCAGATGCCTCCTCTCCAGTGGACTGAACCAGAACACAAGAAAGTTGCTATTTTACACTTTATTACTCAAAACCAACTTGATTAATAAATAGTTGGAAAACAAAATAAATTAAAACTGTACATTATGTTTTACTTTTTTAAAGTTTTAAATTAAAATTGCCAAAGGCCACCATTTCAGGCTTAGATGCACAGTAACAGCTGAATGATACTGCTTATAACCAAGAAATATGAAAAAACATTTCTGGTACAAATTCAGTCCTGCACCATCACTTAGTATTTCTAGCAGTTAAACCAGCTGTTGCTCTT